GGTGCGTGTAAAACGTGCAACGCACACGCAGCGTCATCCATACGCGTATGACTCAGAGCACACAACGCACACACGTTTAACGCACGCACGCACGCACGCACGCACGCACGCGCTTGATGCACGGAGCTGCAACTCAAAATCGATATAGCGAATCTAGCCAGATTATATCCTTCGCGGGGCTTCGCACAATACATGTAATCCGCTGTAAACCGTGACCACAGTTGAGATCGTAGTGATATTTAGGCGCGTGTCTAAAATCGATAGCAAATAAATATTGCGTGCGATGGGAATGTAGCCAAATCGTCTCTGATATAAATAAAGAATATTATTGAGAAGAATTAAAAGTCTCTGCGCAAAAGAATAAATTTGTTAAATTATATTATTTTCGACGGCTCGTCTCAAAGATATTAAATTACGTGTATATAATAAATTTATAACAATTGGAAAAAATTAAATTAGTAATTATTTATTAATTATACTCGTCATGCGATATAATTCTTTCTCCTTTTTTTTCTCGGATTCGAATTACTTGTTTCGACAAAAAGGCTGTAAATTTTATCGAGTTTTTTTAGTTTCTGTCTCTTTACTTATTTATTCAACCTTGAAATAATTTTGCATTTTTCAAGAATAATTGCACAGTGCAGCGAGGAATTTTATCGTATCATCAACTACACGTGAACAAATGACTGATGACGCTTTCAAATAATGATTGCGTGGTTCTTAGAAGAGATTTCTAGTAAACGTTGTCAACAATTTTTATGTATATGCGCGCATGTGTGTGAGATTATCGAATCTTTTATATATCGCATCATATTACATAGCTTCTATTATAATATCAAGACTAACCCATAATTTTACAGTTAGTTAATATTGCGAGGATCCGCATTAAATTTTCAGGTTGAATAATGTAGAACTGGCTTTACAATTTCCTCGTCCTGCGTTCTGGCAAATAGTCTTAGCGGGGATGCCGGCGTCAAAGAGGGGTAGAGAGGGATATCGCCGCGAGAAGAGAAAGAAGGAAGAAAGACGACACCTGCGTGTGTGCGTGCGAGAGAAAGAAAGAGAGAGAGAGAGAAAGGGAGGATGAAGGGTGAAGAGGGGATGGAGTTATCGAGCAAGAGAGATGCGAAGGGTGAGACATACAGGGGAGAGAAGCTGGGGTGGAGGGGTGCAAGGAATCTCCATCGTGGCAAACGGGTCGATCAAGTGCGTGTGCAAACATTTTCCGCGTGCGTTTTCTTCGCGTGTGGGTGGAAAATTCGGCCAGCGAGGGAGGAGATGAGACAACGATAAAAACAGCGCGTCGAGAGGTAGAAAATTTCCTATAAACACAAGCCATGCTGAGAATTTGACGAAAAACTTCCCTCTTAGTTTCACTTCCCTCTTTTTTCTCTTAATCCCTCTCTCGTTTTCTCATGTTTGCGCGTAGAAAATTTTCGAAAGTGCGAAAATAAAGTTCGCAAAGGAACAGACGCTGAATAATGAAACACGTGTCACTCTGCTTTTTAAAGCGTGCTAAACTCATAAAGATGGAATATTCGTTCAGACTGAGATTAATTTTGAAAACTTTAATATTTCGTATATTCTACGATAATTACTTATCTTTATTCGCGCGCGTGCAAAATATTTGTATATATTTAAAAAATCTACGCTCCTTGACTAACATTAAAGTTTTGGAAACTAAACATGCCGAGAATTCGAGAATATCTTTTATGATTCTCGTATCCTGGCGTGTAACGCGTAGAGAATTCGAGAGAAACCGTCGAGGCGCGCGCGCGCGACCGCCGCACGTGCGTGCCTACGTGTGTCGGGGAGGCTGTGACTCATCCTGCGGGAGAGGGAGAAAGAGAGCGAGTCCTGTTCCCGCGGCAGGAAACAACGAGTGGGGGTGGAGATCGATATATCGACTTGAAACGCTCCTGCCGTTAGCGGGAACTGCGTAGCTTCAAGGTCCTCCCCCGCACCCTTCCACTTCACCCCTTTCTACGTTTTCCTTCCTCTTCCCTCTCGCCTTTACCCTCGATACAGTCGATTTTTCGGGCGGGCTCGGAAGCGCCTTTAACGCTCGTTAAATCTATTTTGCCTCTTTTTTTTTGTTTCGCGAGATATTTAATCGTATTTTGAAATATTATCGCAAATAATCTGGTAAACTCGAAAGAATCGATTTCTAAAGACAAAGTGATACGAATTCGATTAATTATACTGGAAATTAATCAATGATTGTCGTGTCGATGATTAAGGTCGAATATTACAAATTACGTGGAAAGCGTTAATCGAGCCCTTGTCGTTACGCGAGATAAATTCTGCCCTGCTCTTCGCAGCATCCCAAAGTGTCGCATCGAAATGTCGATGCGCAGCATCACTGAGTTTTTAATGGCCGCATCAACGGCACGAGCCTGTCGCATTATTTTGCCATGACAAAGAGAGCGCGAACGGGTTGATTGGCCTGCCGTCAGATAACCCTGAGCAACCGAGAATTGTATCCGGTTATCGTACGGTTATCGCTTTGGCGAATAACGCAAAAAGCATTCGTAATGCACTCGCGAAACTCGCTCCGTTCGTCGAGACAGGCCGAGCAGTGCTGTAGTTAACGTAACCGAAACCCTCGTTCCTACCAAACAGATCCCCTTTCTCTTTGCCCTCTCTTTCTCTCCTTCTCCTCTCCCCTGTTCGCTCTCTCATTCTTCTATCCGCTGGCTTTGACGGGCTTCCGTTGTTTCGATTTATCGAGAAACCGGAACCGAAAAGCAACCGCTTCAGCGCAATTTATTTCGTTCCCGATGAAAGGCAACTCATAGACGCGAAATTTTTTATCGTTTATCGAACTTTGTCCGTTTGTAGAAATTATTGGGAAATTATTGGGTTAAGTTTTTAGGATATAAAATCGTTATCCATAAAATCACATTGCGTTAAAAATTCGTTAGGCCATACAAGAATACACGCTTTGGGTACGAACCTGCTTGTATTTTTATTCGCGGATAAAAAAACCAGTACGAATCGTGCAAAGATGGTACGCGGCGGGTCGATGATCCATGTGTTTATGAGAAATCGGGTCAAAACAAGGAGGAAGACGATAAAAATCAAACCAGCACAGTCGAGGGGGAAAGAGTGGATGTCGGCCTCTCGACAGCAGGTGTGCGATGAACTCTCGAGGGCAGAGTCCTTTCTCGCGGGCGAAAGGAAAGACAGAGCGGGGACGGCCGTTCCTTCCCTTGGGATAAAGAGGGTGTTAAGTTCTAGGGGGTGCGGGGTTGTTGTGACGGCGTGCCTATACACCGGTCTTCGACTCTTGGCGATCTATCATCCCTTTTTTCGGCGCGTTTCATTTTCGCCATCGCTGTTGACGTCGCCGAAAATAGTCGGGAATCTGACGTGCCGGTAGATTCGACAGATCCAGCTCGCGCGAAGGAAAGAGAGGAGAGAAAAATCTTACTCGAGAAATTTTGACAAATCTACTTGAGAAAAAACGTAGCAAATTTTCTTTCCTAAAACATTCCGCTGTCGTAAACCGTCCCGTAAAAAAATTGGTCCCCTTAAATAAGACTGATTAGATACATATGCAGCGCGCCATCGGGAAGCTGCAAAGTGCACCGATCAGCGAAATGCTAATTGATAAATGGCGGAATGTTATCAGAGGATTATGTTGACGGCAACGTCGGAACGGGACGTACAGTGCCGGTGCGCGTGTCGCCGGCAAACAACACGTCTGTTTCTGAACGAGACGAAGTTCGATACGCGATTATTATGACCCGCGGTGAGCCTTGAACTTGCCCTACGATAAGCGAAGCCGTTTTATGAGTCGTTGTTGCTGCGCGCCTCGCCTTCTCGAAAGGCATTCACCAATAATCACCGAGGCGATATATATTGTATATGTGTACATAACATTCGTGGATCACAACATTCGTTAATCAGATCGGAGCAATCGCGGTATTTTTCGATTAAGTTATATTTACATTGTGGCATTTAATTAAATGTATTAATTACAAGAATGTCAATTTTTAATTTAAGCAATTTTACTCTTGTATCGAAAGCACACATTGTATGCATTGTATACAAAAATAGATTCAGGCAAATAGATTTAAGCAATTTTACTCTTGTATCGAAAGCACACATTGTATGCATTGTATACAAAAATAGATTCAGATCTTTGAAACTGAAAACGAGGCGAGATAAGATATTTACACTTCCTGTCTGATATCGATATAGTAATTAGCTCAAGCTTGATCAAACGCGAGATTGCAGGTAGTTCGACGCCATCTCTAGTTGCAGTAGCAGCTGAACAGTTAACCCACCAACCCCCTGTTCAATGTCGCTACAATAATAAACCACCTCGGTTATCTGTATTTCTGTATTTCCCTCAGGGATTCTCGGCACATTCAGGCATCGAGGCCAAGTTCAGGCTATATATATCGTTCTATAACGGCGTTTTGTCTGTGCATTTATACCATCTTGTACATACTATCACGATTATAACATGCATTGCGCGTATCTAATGATATTAAAACGCCCTTTAAATTTTTTTTTTTGCGTTACATTTTATTTTGCGGTTTATTAATTTCTCTATCGTGCGTCTTTATTAATATATATAAAATGAATTTTACCGAGCGGATAAAACATGTTTCATAAAACGCGATAAAATATATATTAATAAAATTGATAAAATTAATCATGAATAAAGACAAATTTAATGCAAGAAAGATTTTTTGCTTATAAAAACAAATCGCTGGAAAAGCGAGTATGCATTTTTTAACAAATTGCTCAACGCTAGAAACATTTTTAAATATATATACATTTCTTTATATCAAACATGCATTAGATTTGTAGACGACACGAACATTTAAGTCGCAGAGAATTATTTCACTCATCTCCCTCATCGCGCTATTCATTTTAAAGTGCTTTACGATAATAAAAAAAAGATATGCGTATAACGAAAGGAACGTTTAGATAAGTAATATGAATCGTAAATTAATGATGAATTCGTGATTCAACGATCTACTCACCTTCTTCTCCGTGAGCTTCTCGCATCTCCTCATCTTGCAGATCTGATGGCTCTTGTCGTTTCTGCACGGTGCACACTCCCCGCAGTTGTCTTTGCGCTGACAGCCTATGCACTCTCCGCATCTCTTTCGCTTCTTCTTCGCCGGCTTGTCCCCGAGGCCGCTGTCACCGTCGCCGTCAGTCATACCACCGCCGAGATGATGCACGCCGCGATTCGCGGTGGAGGATACAGCTGCGACCTGGCCGGAACTCTCCACGTTGCCGGTACCGGTACCGCCGCTCCCGCTACCACCGCCACCGCCCCCGCCATCTTCCGATTCCATGGAACCCGCGCGGATTTTTCTGCGCTCCTTCTTACGACCGTCGATGCCGATCGGTCGCGAGGTCGGCGATGAATCCAGCACGGTCGACATCGGATTTTGAAAATTCGCATGGTGCAATTGCGGATACTCGGGCTTCACCACGGTCAGCACGGTATGATGAGGGTGACCCGGCGGCGGAAACGCTTGGGCCGGATTGGAGCCCAACAGCTGTATGTGACGCTCGTCGAATAACTGCTGCTGAAGCGCCGGGACCTCCCGAGCCTGTACCGGTGCCGGTACCAGAGGATAACCGACGGATCCGCGATGCGGGTGAGGTACTGGAAGCGGTGTCCCGAGCGTGTGGAAACTCGGTAGACCCACGGCCGACGTGACTGGCGGCGAATGCGAGATAGATGCCGGTGATAGTGGCGTCAACGCCGTCAATTGCGGTTCGGCCTCGCTCGGAGCGGTAAATTGGCTGGCGAAGCTGGGCAAGCCCTCTATACCGCCCTTAGACTCCCATGGTCGATATTGGTTCGCCAAAACCTCGCCGCGGGAGTCGATCAGCCGTCCAGTCAGGCCCTCGTAGTACTCCCAGGACGGTATCAGACCCGTGCCGACGTCTTGCGAGTGGAGGGTCGTCAGCGTTGTCGAGGTATCCATCGTATTGTCGCCGGCGAAGCTGCTGAAGGGCGGCAGATGCCGCGCGGACAGGTCGCCGGCGCCAACCGTGCCCGGTGAGGTCGCGACCGCCGCCGGAGGGCTCGTCGGGACCCTCTCGGTGGCGACGACCTCCTTCGTCACCTCGGCGCTCATCTTCTTCCTCGCCACGTCATCGCGACCTTAACGTCCGTCCCTCGTACGGCGAGTCTCGCCACTTGACGGTGGTAATCCTTTTTCGTTTCGGATCCTCTCGGAATCGCGCGAGCGATACTCCCTCTCGCGTTCCGATTCTCCTCAACACTATATACTTGCCCCAGAGATGTGTACGCGGGCTCGAGATTATCTAGTCTTTTTCGAACGGATAATCAATGAAATTCTTGCACGCGACATTGGCGCTTCTTTCGCGACTAGTCGCACTTTGATTCTCGTTGATGCGTCGAGCCGGATCCTAGAGACCCGACTTAGAAACGGCGTAGTGTCGTTTGTGGATTGACATTCGCGGTGTCTGTCCAACTCTCGTCTTGAAGTCAATTCTTCAACTTCGATGCACGATGTCGCGCGATTGGATATTCCGTATATTTCGCACGTAGTCTTCTTTGTTGGTTCTTCGATATTACGATCGTTTTCCCCCCTTTTTTTTTGCACTCAACTTCTCACTCTTTCTCTCTCTCTCTCTCTTCCTTTACCTCTGTCTCTATCTATATCTCTAGCTCTGTGTCTTTTTGTACTCAACAGGTTTAGGCTACGAACTGAAGTAGATCGGTTGCTCTGGGAGTGTTCAAGCGAATCTGGTTGATTCCTCCCTTTGTCTGCTTCTTCTTCCTTTCGCTTGGCGAAAATCTGTCACGTGACGCGTCCAGTTTAAAAAATGCACTTATATTTTACGGCTATTTCTATAAACCTTTACAAAACGGCGCCGGCTCGCTTAACTCTTAATCGGTTCTGACGAAGGAATCGGTGTGTGTGTGTCTCACTATTATTTCACCTGACGAGAGATTATGTTATTCAATGAATAGAAAAAAATGGTAGATTCTTTGGTTTACGGTCCTGCCCTCGCACTGTATATTACCTTGTCTGTTCTCTCTCTTCCTCTCTCTTGTTTTTTCCTTCTATTATCGCTGCCGCTTTTGCACTTGTTTGTTTATTTTTAAGAAATTTGTAGATAACACTGTATGTGCCTAAAGAGTTACTTTATTTATTCCAGGATAAAATAAATCTTGCTCTACTTTATTCTACTTTTTCGCTATCTTCTTTCCGTTTCTCTCTGTTACAACGATCACTTTCACCTTGCTTTCTTCCTCGATTTGGCACTGGCGGAGTTGTTTAATTTATCTGTTTCTTCCCCCTTTCTCGTTAGATATACTTTGTACACTTATTAGATAATATAGCTCTTAATCTTTTGTCTTCTTCTGAACCTAAGCTCTTGGAATATCTTCTTTTTGTGTGGTTTTTCTTTACGTCAATATAAACATACTAATTACATATTTCTTTCGCGCTTCGTAAGAAAATAGAAATCACTTGAGGTTAATGTGGCTTGTTAGAAGGCGGTTGATTTGTACGATCTGAAACATGAAACAGAGAAAGATCATCCATCAGAAAAATTTCTAGCGTATCTCGTTTATAAGAAAATGAAAATTACTCAAACATAAAAAAAAAATTGCTCGATCAACGTTAATTTTATCCGTCAGCGTCATATCTCAAAAGGGTGAGAAATCGACAAGAATAAGGGGGATGCGCGGATTAACGAATGTGTCACGTGAGCGCGAGCGAGCACGTGACGCGAGACTATGCGAGAATGTGTCACAGACGTTGCTTATAACGTGACCATCGCTAAGCCAAGGCTACTATTACGTTCAGTGTGTTCGCGCATCAACTCTCGTACGTTCGCTTTGATATTCGCGTACGTTGTGCCTAGCTGTTTCATTCACGTTGTTTAGAAGTCTGACGATGGCTTGGAACTCGTCGCGTCATTCCGAGTGGATTCCGATTCGATCGGAGACAAACAAGATAAAAAGTGTTGCCTTGTTGACTGAAAATTCTTCAAAAATCGAATAATTTCGCGGGTGGAGAAAATTATATTTTTAAGTACATATAATAAATAATATTTTTTATTTTAATATTTAATTAAACAATAACATTTCTACATTAAACGTAAAAATTTTTCATTTATCTTTTGCCTAGACAAATTTACTTTCAAAAGATTAGCGTCCAAAATATCTAAATGTGTAAATATAGATTTTATATCATTTTAGTTAATATTTTCCAGGTATTTGTTCGCGTTCGTGAGAGTTTTGTTACCATCGTCAAAAATCCGACTAGCCCTTTGCGAAATATCGATCGATGTTTACTCTCTCGTTCTCTCACTGTTTCTCTTTTTTTCTATCTCCTCTTCCCGCCTTTCCCTTTTTCTCTCGGCGCACAACCAATACATATAGAATACGATCTTTTACATAGGGTGACGAAAACAGCACGGAACTGTTATTTGACGGATTTCAAGTATATTATTCTTAATGCGGATTAAAAAAATGAGACATTTGTAAAAGAAGCAAAAATTGTACGATTGTACGCGAAAAGCTGTACAAGTACAATCGGATTATGCTTCAATTGTACAGACGTGAGAGATAGAATCTCTGGACGTTCTACTACCCTGTATATAATCTAGGTGACATACACACGCGCATGCGGCTATAAACGGAGAGCTTTCGCAAAGTACGCGGATATGTAACATAAACCGCGCGATAGTAGCTCTCGCTGTGTAGCGGTTGCCTTTCCACCCCTTGTATCCGCCTCGTTTTCCACCCCCAAACTCTAATAGCTTTACAGCTGTGACCGCCCGGCGCTTTCGCTATCGCTGGAAACTTGCACTGTCGTTTGGCCAGAACTTTCGCTCGCTGGTTTGACCTTGCGGAGATGCGTCTGCTATTTCGCGCTACACGTGAACGACACCATTTACGTACTTTGCGTGCATACTTGTCGATGTAAGAATTTAAGACTCTATTCCTAGATTCACTTTCATTATTGCAATCATTTAATGTTTATTGCCTAATATAAATATTAATAATATTATAATTATAATTTACGATCCAGTCTGGTAATCTGTTTTCATAATTAATAACTAATATACGCGAATGTAAATTATATTTTATGTACTCTGATTAGAAATTCGTGGTTATACGCATGTAAATAATGAAATAATGAAATAAGCTACGCGGAGTCTTATTTAATTGAATTGATTAAATTTTCGTATAAAGACCGGAGGGTTTTCGTCTCAGCAATTGAACTTTACTAATGTCCATAAATCTTGGACTAGGCTGAATATCGCGAACTTTAGTCTTTAAAGGTCTCGATGTGAATATTACCAAAAACTTCAAGTGGTAGCATATAATTTTTTATGTAAAACGGAATTATAATTATATATTAATTAAATTATACATATATGCAGCCGTGTCTTCGATTTTCACGACTGCATTAAAAATATTTATTCTTCTTCACTGGTGAGAAAGGTAGACGGAAAAGAATCCGGACAAAGAACTAAAATATTTTTATTTAAAAAAGCAAAATCGATTCTTACGGACCGTCCGAGCACGTTTAGAACTTCGGTTCGCGAAACAATTAATATTTTACGGACAAAGGTGAACGCGTGTATCCCATGTGATCCTTCTGATCGTGAATCTTTTCGACAACACGGAATAAGGTTACCGGTAGCGAATTATCCAAATAAGGCAACGATCGTTCGATTATTTCGATCAATCGTTGATCGACACTGATACCCTCTTTGTCGATTTAGATATTGACTTTATGACGTGGAGCCCGAAAAATCAAATCAAATAATCGGCCTTTGTCCGCAAAAGTAACGTTCCGTTCAAGAATATTCGAGAAAACTCTCAAATATAACGGCTTTATAATGTGATACAGACTTTCTCGAACAATATATAAAATAATACTTACACTGAAAAAAAAACTTGGTTGAAAAAAAGGCAAAATTTGTTTTGTCCAACTAAATATATTGTCCGATACGTTCAAATAAATATAACTAAAATATTCCGAAATAATTTGTTGATATAAACAAAGCTTATTCAAATCATCAAATTAAAAGAGAGAGTTCAGTACAACGATGTACAGTTACTATAACAGAATATTTTTTTGGTAAATTTTCAACCAAATTTTTTTTTCAGTACATATAAATAAATTTAAGAAAATTATGCCTTCAATGAAACTAATTAAAAAATTGTAAAATATATAAATGTAAATTAGTTTCTCAGTAAAAATATATTTATAAAATATAATAAAATTATTTTTTTTAAACGATGAAACCTAATTTCTCATTTTTCAGTATGCGTGTTTAATAAGAATAGTTGTGACACCCGTTAGCCACCTCCGCTTGCACTTTCGTTGAATCGACTGTAGGTGCATGCACAAAAATTCAATATCACCGTCGCCCGGCATACATAGGGTGATCTAAAAGAATATATGCGAGTTATCGGTTCCTTTCTCACCGAAAGACGGAGAATCTGATTTTCTCGAATGAATTTTAGTGTCATTTAATCAATAAAATATTCTACTGGTAGAATAAAAATTTACCAAATCATATTACAAAGCAAATATACATAACACAAGGAGCACAAAGTTACAAAAATGACATTATTTTATTACTTTATAACTAATTTTGCCTCGACAATTTCAATATTCAATATTTTCGAACACTGAAATTAAAAATTCATTGTACCAATAGAATTCCAGCGGAATTTTCAATGAGAAAGGTATGGAGATTTTTTTGGCAGTAAAATTTAGACACCGAGGCAAGGGAGTAATAGGACACCTTTTTTGGGACACTCCGTATAGTTGCGACAGAGAACGAGTCGTTTGCGGATTCTTTCGTCCACGGCGAAGAACGCAAATTCCGAGAAGCGCATATAAACCAGCTGCCATAGAGACCCGGAGATTCCACACGCTTGGAATTAATATTAGCCGTGCGTCGCTAACGGAAACGTCGCCGAGAAAAATCGCACCCGCTCTTCGATTTACAAAGCTGAATTCTTATTCACCGACAAAATTCCCCCGAATTAACGCAACAAACGTTCACACGCACGATTTTCATCTTTGCTGGCCGATTTTAATTTACAAGTTTCTCGCCTAAGATTGCTAGGGACAAGGATAAAAATATTTATGACGAATAACACACGAGGAATCTATGAAACCCTTAAAAATAGAGCGATTGCGAACAATAAGCTCATTCAAATGAAGCGATAATACTTCTGTCGTATTTATTAATTTCAGCCTAAATTTTGAAACGTGAATATGCATCAACAGGCGTACTATGCATCGAGAAGAAAAAGAATAGAATGATTCGCGCGCCATTTTTGCCGCAGCGTAATGCCGAAATTAGCGCGGTGCCATCGCGAGAAAGCGGACTACCACACGAGAAGAAGACTGATGAGCTTCAAGCATTCAAGGATTCGAAGCTTTCGAAGATTCGTTAAATACTTTAACAATTCTTTCCGAATTCATTCGGAGGAAAATTAAACTGGGAGTTAAAATCGGAGAGTATCGACTCCGAAATATTTTTGGAGTCAATTCTCAGATTATTCGAGACAAGATGAAGAAATCGGAAAGGCTTTTGAGAACTTTAGGGGATTTTTTCGCGCATATGAAAGGATGAAATAATTCTTCCTCGCTATACGATTCAATACGCCGGCAGAGATTTTATAGACGATTTAAGAAGGCGAAGGATCACATGTGGAAGGAACTCTATCCCGACCACGTCCTCGATGCAGCGCGCCGCGGACGAATGGGCCGCGCGAAGGGCCGATGCGTGTGCGCGTGCACATCCGTGGGACCTTGAATCAAGCAAGCGGCCTTTGTCGCGAGAGAGCCGAACACACAGCTCCTCTCGGCCGAACGCGCCCGGCATCGCGAGGTCGGCGAAAGTGTGTACCCGCCGAAGCTCCCTTTTTTTGCTCGCGGCTCTGCCTCTCGCGCTCATTTTTGCCCTCTTCCTTCTCTTAAAAGCTAGGCTCGGCCAACTCCTTGGAGCGACGGAAACGGACGGAAGATGCGTTTATTATTAGATTTCGACTCCGATTCTCTCCGAGCGTCGCGGATCGCTAATGACGATGACTCGTATACAGCGTGCACGATGATCGATGGAAATGGCGCGATGATGGTGACATTGTCGGCAACGATACGCATCGATTGCGGAAAATGAAGATTGTCAAAGTTGAAGAAGGATATTATTTGTAACTACGCAGATTTTACGAATCTCTTTAGGACTTTATCAATTTTCCATAACAGAGACTTCGCGGACCTACCTCAGAGGTCCGGTTGCGACACAGTTATAGTTATACGTTCCTTACACGTTGATCCTTCTTAGCACGCTCGACCGCAATTTATCAGAGGAATCGTTTCCGCGTAGTTATTTTTACCGAACTCGACTTCCTCGCGATAACGAACCTCCGAAACAGATCTTCCTCTCCCCAAGACCTTTCATTGGTTCTCACGACCGCGATCGCGAACGGATCCAAACGAACGCATCGCGGAAACAAAGAAACCGCGCGAGCCGTACATCTATGGGGGATCTATCTCGCGGGTGGACGAGAGCGAGGGTGGAAGAGAACTGACAGTTGCGTTCGCGGATTGTCAACCGAGTCACTTGTTGCTGTCCAGTTTCGGTCTCGCGGTACCGTTTCTCGAACTCGCGACTTCCGGCGACTATACCGATCTCCTCTCTCTAGACGGTGGAAAAAAAAGAACGGTCGCGGTCAAAATCGTTTGACGGCGCGCACGCATACGCGACGCATTCGGCCGCGCACTGATTCGCGCGCGCCAGCGCACGCACGCACGCACGCACGCTCGCCGGCCGGCCGGCTGCGCGCTCTTCGTGTGCGCATGTACGGGGTGTCTGATGGGCCCGTCGACGAAAACGAACGGCGAGTCGCTCGGATTTTTTCCTCGACGGCAAACGTCTCCTCGATCGAAATTTTAAGCCGACTCTCGATCCAGAGGGACGTCGAAACGACGGGAGAGGCCCGATATCGCGATGTCGCTCGGCAATGCCACCGAATAAAATTCGAAATCGAAGACGCGCCACCCTGTATATACCAGTGCGTGCACGTGCGCATGCGTGTGTTCTCTCTCTCTCGCAAGATACCGCAAAGTACGTCGTGACGACGTTACGAGCGTCGTGTACGAGAGCCGGTCACACGCTCGTTTACAAACGACGATGACGAGGAGAGGAAGATACGAGGACGACGACGGCGACGACGAGGACGACGACGACAAAGATGACGAAGACGACGAAGACGACGACGAGGACGATGATGAAGAAGGCGATGGAGTGCGCGACGACACGCATCGTAAAACACGCATATCTGGTGTAGGTGCGTAACGGTTCGTGTTAAGGGTAGGGGGACAGCGAGGACGTACGAGGGGGGGAAGGAGCGGGGCCAGCAGAGGGGACAGGAGAGCTTTCGCAGCGTTAAACCCACCCACACAGGCGCGCGATATCGGAAATGATATAAAATTGCGTCGAGCGCGCCGCTGATATTTAAATTGGTTCGCTAAACCACGGATTAATGCGCGCAACGACGTCCGAGCCTACGCACGGGCTTCGAAAAAGAGTGCTGCGTGGAAAAAAATATTACGCGGCCGAATAATAGACAATCGTGTCGAATAATCGCGGAGAGAAAAATCCTTTTCTTTTTTTCTTCCTTTTAAATTAACTTCCTTTTAAATTTTTAAAAAAGGTTAATATTTTATAGCATTTTCCGCAAAATCATCATGCAAAAGCGCATCAGACGCATAATCAAAGCAATCCGCGATTCAAACATTTAATTAAGCAAAAAGATGCTCCGAAAAACGCGATCAAAATCGAACGGAGAATAATTGATTAGATGCCAAATTAGATCGGCAAACTGTTGGCGGTATCGCGGCACCGAATCTGTCGAATTATTAAAATGCATTAAAATGCCTGTGTGAGTCATATCTGTCTAGCGAAAGTTACATGGATGAATCGATCGATTATAGAAACGACGAGCGTAAAATCGAACGAGTTAAATGTAAAGTAAAGAATTGACTCGTAAATCTTTCGCTGTTCGTTCCTCTCTCGCTTGTATTCATCGTTCATTCGTTTCTTTGATTCTTTGTGTTCGATCTCGATCTCCCACTGTGTTATAGGAAAGAGAAAGAGTGAGAGAAAAAGAGAGAGAGAAACAATCAAAAAATCTTTTTCTCCCTTTCACGTATCCCGACTACGAAAAAGAATTATCATCAAATTGGCTCTAATCGAGACAATGCAATTTTTAAAATTTCACGCTCTTAAGCGATATTTTCCCTAAGCGATATTTTCCCTATTTATCTGTATCTTTAGCAAATTTGTTTCAATAATTTTTCCTAATAAATCACGTCACTCGCACATACGCACACGAGCGTGAGATAATTTTCCAATTAAAAGTGTATATAATATCGATTTTTAAAGGTATCAAGATCGATAATGAGAAATTTTCAGTCTCGCTCAGCTGTTGACAGTTGTAAGACACGAAACTGATTGTGACACACATTCGACTGGACGGCTTTGACGATTATTTCCGGAACGATAATCGTTCGGAGATAATCGCTTTATCGTTTCGCATTTCGGTAAATCGATTCAACTCGTAGACCTCGCATTCGTGCATTCGTGAATCGCGCGAGTGGACGGGCGGACGAAAATTTGAAACGAGAGGCTCGCGCGCGCAGGCAGGGAAGACAGACAGACACGGGTCCTCCGGAGCTTCTATCCGAAATAAAAGCCGCTGACGGAAAACGATGTAATGCGTGGTTATAAGAACCTGTTTCCCACACGCACGCACGCACGCACGCACGCACGCACGCACACACATACACACACACGCGCTGCGTGCGTAAGTCGAGCCTAGGAAGAAGCGGATTTCTTTCGGGGTAAGGGACGCGCCAGACTCGTCGCTGCCCCGCGTTCTCACGCGTCTCGACGACGACGCCGACGTCGGCGTCGGCACACGAACACGTTTCTCGTTTGACGCACCGCGAGACCCGTAAAACTTTCGCAGCACGATACGTGCATGCCGTGTTCGAGGACACTACCGTGCACCGCCGCCGGCTAGCGCAAGAGGCGTTGACGGCGACGGCGGCGGCGGCAGTGGTGGTAGTAACGGCGGGTAGTGGTGGTTGCGACGATGCCACTGGTGCCTAGCGGTAGCGACGACGGTGGTGGTGGTCGTGGTGGTGGTTTCGCTGGTGATGGCGATGCTGATGAGCGCGGACTCCGCGGACTCGGCGGAGAGAAACGGCGAAAACGCGGCTCCCGACTTCCGCGTGATTCCGCGACGTCCCGTCCCCGAGGATACCTTGACGTAACGCGCCCCGCCGGCGCGACCAGCGTTTCCACGTATTTACGGGGGATTTGCGATCTCGCGAAACCTCATGGTCTGGCCTTTAAATCGCTTCTCGATCGTAGGGAGGATTTTTTTTTTTCGTTTTTTTTCATTTAACCCAAGCTCTACGTATTTATGAGGATTATCCAAAATTCGAGCGCCACACCTCTCGCGCCGAAGGAGAGTACCGGTGTCGTCGCGCGCGCACACACTCACCCTATTCTTTCTCTTCTTTCCACCGCTTGTCCTTCCTCCTCTGGCAGGCAGCGAGCAGAGTCGAAGTTAGCCGAATGAAAAGACGAGCGATTCCGTGCACTCCCTCATTGTGCTGTCCGTCCCGCGGCTGCAGTGCGTTTCTCGCGCTACTTTGAAAGCTGCGGTCGCGATTCGTCAATAGGAACCGCGCGCGGCGGAAAGCGACATTTTCGATTTCCCCGATTCCTCGAGCACGGAACACGTTCGAGCGTTATTACGAATGCAAATCCGGCGACGTAAACTTTTCACACACAATCCTATCCTTCCCTTTGTTCACTCTTTCTCCAACTCGAGGCTCGATGCAATCGCAGTTTCGCAAGCTCCCGCGAACTCTCGGACATGTCTAGATTCCTCCCCGCTGTACTCTAGATCCAACATGTTTCCCTCCACGCATCTTCTTTGTCTCTCACAGGGTCACAGATTACCGATCCACGCACCACCACTCGCGCCGCTTTACTTCCTAATTCTATACGCGCGACGCTTCTCTCTCTATCCCCCTTTCTCTCCCTCTCACGCACTCATACAGACGCCTCCCTCATACCGTGTACCTACGCGGCTGGGCGCCGCGCGTTGGACAAGACAAGATAGGGACTGGGACAGGGATTGGGACTCGGACGCGCCGGCCGGCCGCTCGTTGGCCCACGACGGAACGAACGAAACTGCCTATCTACCTTTGGTTTGACGGGCTGCCCCGTGCCGAGTGCGGTGTATGTCCGCCGCACGCTCACCGTGGTACACTCCGATTAGTAATAGTCTTTGTCTGTCCGCGTATATACGCGCGGACTCGCTCACTCGCTCGCTCACTCGCTCGCCCGTTCACAGCTGCCCGCTCGTTTCGCCCGCTCGTCTTGAACGCGATTCGGCCGCGCTCGGCACTCGTCGGCTGTCATCCCGCCCGCCATGGCGGGAACCCAGGACTTAGCCCAGGACCATCGTCGGCGGGGAGACGAGAAGGGGAGAGTAACGCGGAGGGAGAACGAGGACGGCGCGATCTCGTTGGGCTCTCTCGCGAAGCGGGCTCGCCGATGCACGTGTGCCGCGGGACGGGGTAGGGTGCCGGGGGACAGGCTCGGGGAGGAGCCGGCGGATGGGGTTGGAAATTGCGCACGCGCGTCGCAACCCCTCGAACGAACGAGCGAGCGAGCGACAAGGGGATGTTACGAACCTGCTTCGCTCGAGTAGCTTTCTTCTTCTTCGTTCCGGGTGGTCTCCGTCGTCGTCTTAGTCCTCGATGTTCTTCGAGGATTCCACCGCGACCTTCCCCATCGCTGAAAAATCGAGAAAACGACGTAATATTACTAAGAGAGCGATGCTTTGTATTAAATATATGTATATAAAAATAATCGTAGCTTGCTAAAAAAACTGAGGGTGAAGAACTTAGCTAAGGCTGAGAATGATAAGGTGGAGAGATATTAATTCAAGCGTTCTCCTTCTCCCCATTTTTACTCCTAGATCTGCGATTTTCGAGCAGTCTGGAGATCGACGAAATTTTGCGTACCGGTGCCCCTCCTTTTATCTCGCTCGCACCTTCCCACCCTTTGCGAAATTACATTCCAATTTGCGAGCTACTCGGTTTCTTTTCCGGGACTCGTAAAAAAAAAAGAGCTCGTAAAACGTAGCTAGGCCTCGGGTACTTTCATCCCCGAGCAACCAATCGCGACCCCAGAGCGAGCCCCTTCCCCTCTATCTAGAGCTAACGATTTATTTCAGCGACCTCCTGTATTCGATATCAACGACTTTTCGGGCCCTGGGGCGAAACATATCCCTGGTAACCCTTCTCGCGAATTTCTCACCTTCCGCCCCCTCGAGCGAATGATTTCGGAAGCCGAAAAGTCACGCGCGCGTTAACATTTCGTGGTAAATGGAGCAGGTCTGACCCAGCTGCGCTCAGGCATGTTGAAATGTACGCGCGTTGTGTGATAATAATTTTCACCGTATTTCTCCAGGCGCGAAAATCTTCGATCTTCGTGTCCGCGCTACACCGTCGATTTCTCATGAGGGTAACGAGATGTTTATCCAAGATGTTCTCATACGCAAGACGCAGATATACGGGCATAATTTTTTCAACGCGCATAGGTTTTTTGCTGCGGGTACATTTATCATTTTTTAAATTATTGCATCAGTTGAACCAGATGTTAAACGACCTGAGAATTCGAATGTCACGCTCAAAAAATTAAGATTGATTGCGATGAATTATTCATTGTTAAAAATCAAGAGGGAGATATCGTAAAATCATCATATTATTCTCAATGAAAAATAATTATAAGTATCTGATTTTCGAGTATAATTCTTTTAATTCAAGCATTAATATCGTTTATAATCTACATACGCAATCAAAGCAATCTCCGAATCGCAGTGGCCCAGGGCCAAGTTTATCCCGGAAAACCCTTCTGCCCGAGTTTCCCAGATCCCCACTGTCGGCTATCTCTCGACTTTCGTGTGTGCGGCTGGGAAGAGCGAACCGCACGCACGCATCGCCGAAAAGCTCTGGATTAATGCCCAGAGACCCGATTAACATGACAATGGCGGCCGCATGCAGATATAAATTAATACGTATTCTTCTTTCGATGGAAGGACGACGGATCATGCGGCACACGGATTCTGTGTCCCTTCGTAATGATGTGGCCGCTTGATAAATCATCTCCAGCCCTAACTAGATCAAGCGTTGTACTCGATCAAGTCTTGCTTGCAAAAAGTGAATCGAGTCTTTACGCGGCCAGCATCGGCCATCTTGCAGTCTCGCATGAAATTCCGGAGGACAGATGCTGCTCGGGGAGATTACAATGATGTCGAAATAAATCAGTTTATCGAAGCCAGGTAGGTAGGAAGTGCCGGCTTGGATACCTTCGGTGGTCCATCAAATATTTTACGAGCAGCGATTCTCAATACAAGAATCATCGACCTAATTATTTCTTCCGGGTGACGCTTTTACTTGTGCGAGTTACAACCAAATAATATGATCTCGGAAGTGTTTGGGAAATTATTCTACAAAATATCTATAGATATTTCGTAGAATGTGTATTATTGACAATTTCAGCATTGTTCATCGATCGAGTTAAATTTGAAATGCGTTCCTGAAACTGATCGTAGAGCACGACTGCCTACCTGACCTTTAACTCTGACTAGTCGAACATTCAATGCAGAACTAAATCTGAAGAAACATTCTATCGCATTTCGGCATCTTTTCAATTGTATTCATTTTTCAACTATCGTAAAATCGCAATCTTTAATTGAAAATTATTTTCTATTGAATAAACATCATTAATCCTTTTACAATCTACAGACATATATATACAATATATATATATATATATATATATATATATATATATATACATATGTATAAAATTGTTATCTATTTTATTCATATAATATAAAATTATACAAAACAGATTAAAATTTGATTTTAATGTATTTTGATGTTTTTGTTAAAAAGACATTAAAATGAAAAAACCCCAGTTCAGAGTTTTTTTATTAAATTTTAAATCTCAAGATTTCATGATAAAATTCATGATAATGTTAAGCATCAAAATTTATAATTGTGCAATGCATATTAATGGCAGTCGTTAATCAGGAATCTTAATAAATATCAATTCGATACTGACGCACATCGATGAAGCAAAATCGATTGAGGAAGGTTCGGTTACTCGTACATTTCGGTCTTACGGGATCTTGCGCCATGTGTGCTGTATTGCGTCAAATACAGTGGCGAAAGCAGCTGCAACGTCGTGTGACATGCGTCCATTGTCGGTATTTCGTGGGCATCGAAAAATGAAAAATCGTCCCTCGTATTCCCATCTCTCGCTGTACAAAATCCCTTCGCCCTTTGCTCTTCGTCGTTGCGAGAATCACCTGGACCATGGAAGAGAGAAAGAGAAATCTTTTTTTGGAAAATTTACTCTCACGGCATCTCCTCTGTTTTTTTTAATCGCCCTATGAAATAGGAAATAGGAAATCTCTTTTATAAATAACTTGCATCTAATTAAAATTTCTACAAGTCAAAGAGATACAAATACGCGCAACATATACATATGTATAATGAAATACTTTGATTAAAAATAGATCTGAAATTTTGTACGATATTTATCATAAAACACCTTGCGTTCCTGATGGCGCTATAGGCCGAGAATCGGTGGATTCATCTGCAATGAACCCTAGTGCGAGGGTGCAGGGGTTACTCTAGGTGTTTGAGCGAATTGGGGGTCGCGCAACCCCCTCCTCCCTTTCTCCCCAACGCGTGCCATCTTCGATGTAGTGGTCTGCCACTGAATTACCCCGACCGAAAGGGTTTAAATGCTCTTTTTTCCGCCTTCTACGATGGGGTAATAATCGGAGTAGTAGGACATTCGACATTTCTCGGAGAGGAAAGCGAGAAATTGATGTATTCCACACACATTTTCTTACCTCTACGTTTTTCGCGAATTAATCCGTGATAAAGTTT